TTTTGAGATTGAGTAAAATTAGAGTCTCCTTTTATTTGGTATAATTTTGAGTAAAAAGTTAAAGCTTATTTTTAAATTATTTTTGTATCTAAATTAAAATTAAAATTAAAAATTGAATAAGACTAGAGATACGTGAAATAACCACGATTTGTTGCTCGTTGGGGTCCTATATATTAATTTGTGAAATTCATATATTGTTTTTTAACAGCGCAAAAATATGGGCTGGGCAAAACACTCGGCCCAATATATCCACCCCCAAAAAGGCAGATCAATTTCAATAAATTTCTTGGGCCTGTTTTAGCTGGCCTATTTATAGAAGTTGCTAGCTCCAACCCCACCTGTCCTTTTTCTTCTAGAGCCTATTTTAAAAAGGTGTTCCGTTCGAATTTTCATAATTTTTTTGAGAACAGATTAAAATAAATTTATTCTTTATAAATATTCTAGTTTTTATAGTGAATAACTTTTTTTTGACCCGACCAAAGAGGAGATTATGTCGCTATTAAATTAAGAAAAAAATTTAGCAACAATCATTCTGATTTATCATAACTTCAACGACACTTCCTTTATTTCCCTTTATTTAGTAAATTTTTATTAAAGGTGTTAACTAAAATACAATTTTATTAAATTATCCATGATATATTTTAGAAAAAATTCATCCATATCTCTCTAAATAGACATATTTTCAATGAGATTTCCTTTGTTTTCTAAATTTTTTTACATATTAAAATTCAATTTGAGCTAATTAAAATTTGAGTCGATTAAAATTAAATTTTTTTACGTATTAAAATTTGAGATGATTAAAATTTTATTAGAGCCAATTAAAATTCAATTTTAATCAACTCAAATCAAATTTTAAATCAACTTGTATTGAATTTTAGTTGGTCGGAATTTTGATACTTAAGAAAATATAAATTTTAATTGGTACGAATTTTAATAAGTCAAAAAAATATAAATTTTAATTGACTCGAAACAAATTTTAATTTGCACTAACAGTTCAGGTAGAGTTCAAATCGGCTCGAATTTTAATACCCAAAAAAATAATTTTAATAGGCTTGAATTTTAATATGTAAAAAAAATAAAATTAATCACCTCAAATCGAATTTAAATGAACTCAAAATTTAATATGTAAAAAATGAATTTTAATTAGTTTGAATTTTAATATGTAGAAAATTAAATTTTAATTATTTGGGGTTTATGTAGACAAATTGTTTTAAATTTTTTTGAGAGCAATTTTAATATTTTAGATTGTTTTTATTAAAAATGATAGTTTAACGGTAAAGAGTGCCAATAATATTCAAATATAAACTATAAGATATGTTAAATATGTTTTAAATAATATAAGAGATATCCTTAAAAATATGATAAATAAGGAATGTGGCTGAAATTTTCTCTTAAATTAATTATGAATTGTAAAAATAGATGAAGCTACTTTCAAACCAATAATCATATTAAATTATGTCCCATATTAAGTTTAAATAGTATTTTTTTTTTCTCCGAGTAACTACTGAAATTTAATTAAAAATTTATTATAATATAATTATCAGATTAATTATAAATTTTAATATTAAATAGAATTCATATTCGACCCAGCTGCCACCTTAATTGATTAGGTTGAAATAAAATTTTACTTTTTTCGGATTCAACTTCAATCCCATCTGTCCCACACTAATTTTTCCCAACGTCCAAATCTACGGCCTTTATTCATCTCTCACACTAATCAACGATCCTCATTTATCCAGCCAAAATCAACGCATTCCAACGCTATCATAGCTTGCACGACCCACAAAAAGGCCAAAAGCCACGATCTCAACTCTCTCTCTCTCCGCCTGTCACTCTCCTCCTCCAAAAATTACATATTTTTCTCTCTCCAAAACTAAAAAATCAAAATCCAAACCCCCCCCCCCCCAAAACCAGATCCCATATCTCCCCCCCCTCTCTCTCTCTCACACACACACAAACACACAGAGATCAGCCATGGCTGTGGCACCATCGGCACGAGAAGAGAACGTGTACATGGCGAAACTGGCCGAGCAAGCCGAACGCTACGAGGAAATGGTGGAATTCATGGAGAAGGTGTCGGCCTCATTGTCCAATTCCGAAGAACTTACAGTGGAGGAACGCAACCTGCTCTCGGTGGCCTACAAGAACGTGATCGGTGCCCGCCGAGCCAGCTGGCGCATAATCTCGTCGATCGAGCAGAAGGAGGAGTCTCGCGGCAACGAGGACCACGTGAACACTATCAGAGATTATAGATCTAAGATCGAATCGGAGCTTTCTTCGATCTGTGATGGTATTTTGAAGTTGCTGGACTCGAGGTTGATTCCTTCGGCTGCGTCTGGGGATTCGAAGGTGTTTTATCTGAAGATGAAGGGTGATTATCACAGGTATTTGGCGGAGTTTAAGGCCGGCTCTGAGAGAAAAGAGGCTGCTGAGAATACTCTCACCGCCTACAAAGCTGCTCAGGTTTGATTTGATCCTTAACGCCACTGCATCTATGTACGCGTGCATATTATTCCATATATGTTATTATTGGATGCTGATTTGTTAGATTGAGGGTTCAGGTTTCGATTCATGTCTGATTTATGAATTATTGAGTACTAACCGTTTGATTTTTGAAGTTACGTTGAGGAAACGAAAAATTAAAGGGAAGTCAAAATCCCACGCATTGTCTTCTATATCAAATTTGAATCAGAAACTGAGAATTCTTGAGATTCGATTAGAAAGCACGAAGAGGAGGGAAATGACCCACTAAATGAAACAGATTCTGTTTTCATTTTCCACAGCAACCATACACCGCTGAGCATTGATTGTAGTAGAGCCATAAGGCTCTGGTAGATTTAATGTAGACAGCGTGTAAATTACACTTTTTTTTTTGAAATTTCTTAGTAGAAATTTGCCTAGCTTTCTCACAGACACTTGAAGAGAGAATATAGGGATTTTGCTCATCTCTGAGGTAAGACTTTGTGCACGATGAATGAAGCCTACGTGAGGAAATAATGTTCAACTATCGTGGGCTTCTTGGGAAAACTTTGTAAGATACTATTCCCATGAATACCCCTGTACCGGTCTGCCCATCCCCACCTTGTCTACAGTGGAGTTTTTCTTCAGATAAACAAATTTTTATCTGATTTTCTTGTTCTTGTTTCTATAATTATTTCGTGTTTCAAGTATAGTTGCATTGAGGAGTGAGGACTGGTGTGTAATTATTGTTTAACTATTTATGCTTTTAATCTGATGTGGATATTCTTTTGTGGCATACGACTTTTGCAAAGGACCAATCTCCTTTTACCCACTTTGAATCATACTATGTCCTTTGTACTCGGCCTTTGATATTCATTGCTGTTTTGTGTTTGAAGGATATCGCAAATGTGGAACTTGCCCCAACCCACCCAATCCGGCTTGGGCTGGCTCTGAACTTTTCTGTGTTTTACTATGAGATTTTGAACTCTCCTGACCGTGCTTGTAATCTAGCGAAACAGGTGACAGATTCTTAATGTGTGTATTTCTTTTTCTGATAAAATTTCTGAGACATGCATAGTGAATGATGAAGACATAATTCCCCAATATGAGCAAGAGTTTAATAAGGTTTATGGTATCCATTTAACTTGAAATGAAATCCCAGGTCGCACAGCGATGGAGAAGGCATTTGGACATGGACATTTTTGCATTGATCTACATTTGCCGTTTGTTTTAGATGTGTTCAATGTATATTCTTCTTTGCGTTTGCCAGGCTTTTGATGAAGCAATTGCAGAGTTGGATACCTTAGGCGAGGAGTCCTACAAAGATAGCACTTTAATTATGCAACTTCTTCGTGACAACCTCACTCTGTGGACCTCTGACATGCAGGTATTTAATTTACTGTAATGCAACTTACCCTTTTACATATGCTGCCTTCCTTGTTCTTATGCTGCAATGTTATATATTGCCCTCTTTTTGTATCATTTTTTCAACATCTATGTGCATGGCACGGCAACTGATTATTTTTCCAAATGTCATCCTATATTAAGGGAAAAGCAATAACATTGATGCATAAATTTGAAACAAAATTGGGTTTTTGGTACAGGATGATGGAGCAGACGAGATTAAGGAAGCTCCCAAGCGCGATGATGAACAACAGTGAGGGTAGTCTCCCCCAATTTAGGATTTCACTTCTCCTCTGGTGGTTTTTATTATGAGAAAGTGTTTGTTTTAATTTCCATGCTTTATGTTATTTTAGGCGTTGTCTTTGTTACTGATTGGCATTGAATGTTAATGCTGTGTCGCTTAGTTTGCAATTTACTGTTGCTATGAATTGTTAATTATCCTTCAAAATACATATTTGTCTGCATTGGGTATGTTTAAACTAAATTTCTTTTGTGTTCACTAAACTAGAGTCGCGTCCCCCCCGGGGGGGGGGGGAGGGGGGCACGGCATAGGGGAAGATGGCCTTTGGTTTTGAATCGCAAATTATCTGATAGTTTGTTTTAGTGATTTGCCCATTTCAGAAAAGTTATTTCATTGGGTTTGACTATAACACTGAATTTTTTTCCCATACTCTTGCCACTTATCCATTTTTTTGTGTATTTATACTATTTTGTACGTGGAGCTTGTTTATTTGTAGGTTGTGTTCACTTTTTGAGTTTATTTATCACTTTTTTGTTAAAATTTACTGTGTTTTTTTTGGATTTTTTTATTTTTATTTTTTCGGTTGGAAAATAAAGTTTTCGTACCCTAGTGGTTTCCACTGGATAGCATTGGTGCGTCACGTGGTAGCTGTGCGGGATAAGGGTGACCTGGCCTTCATTGAAAAATTGCATATGGACCGGATATATATGAACTTGCGGTTGCTGAGAACGATGACCCCACATTATGCTCATCTCCAGCTCTTTCGATTGCGTGTCTCTGATTCACTCCTATACTTATCTGCTTGTAGGGGTTGATTACGATGCGAAAAAGTATAAATTATTTTTTTTGTGGAGGTTGTTAATTTTAGATTGCATAAATTAGTGTGTTTTTTTTAAAACTTTTGATATGGTACTGAAAAATAAATCGTGGGGCATTAGTATTTGTCCTGTTTGTAGTGGCCGTGAGCTCTTTTCAGAGAGAAGGGTGGTCAATTCATGGGAAGTTTTACAGTATTGCTGGCAATATTGATTTTAAAAATTTTAATTTTGTAAGGTTAAGTTTTAATTTTTAATTTTTTTAAGATGTAAGTTATAACTTTAAAAGGTAGGATTAATCATGAAAAGTTGGGATTAATATTATATTTTTTATGATTGATTATTGGTATTTGTGATCGATCATAATTTTTTTTGAATAATTGTAATTTTTTTTAAATTATAATTTAATTATATAAAATAATAATTGACGATATAGGGTCATAGAATTTTCCTCAATTCATGAATAAATTGTGGTGGCAGGCTGTTGTCTTATCTCAGCAGGTTTTTACGCTTAGAAATTAAGCTTTTATCACACAAATTAAGTGATCTTAGAGATGGTTTTCATGTTGTTATTTAGCATAATTTAACTTATGAAAATAAAGCGATTTGTTGTTTAATTTTGGTAATGTTGCGGGGTCAGAATTTTTTTTTGAATTAATAGTTATAATTTAAATTAAACATTTTATCTCATCTCATGATCATGTTCACCGGTTAATATCTACTAATTGCTCCTCCCCAAAAAAAGAAAGTTTTAAAATCAGTCTGTTCATATTTTAATTCATTTGAGGTTAGCAGTTGACTACTACCCTTACTTTTGGATGTGAAGATCGTATATTCCACTCACATCATCTCTCTTCTATAATACTTTCTATATATGACCAGTCTTTGACCCTGTTTAAAGACAAGATTAGATGTGATGTGACATCACATCGCAAGAATACCTTAGTGGTGGAAGTGGAGCGTGCGTTCATCCCATCCACCAGTAAGGCTTAGGGTTTGTTGACATTTAGAATTTGACATGTCCTCCCTAAAAAAGGTAGTATTAATAGCATTTATCAAGTGATTTATTTTGTGTTGTGTCTGATAGGCTGACAGAGAGGGACATGACCCCTACAAAACCAGGTCCATAGGCTGGTGTCACTTTTTCTTCACTTATTAAATAAAAAATTAAATAGAGTTTATTGTTTGAATCCCACGTACAATTCTCTGGGGGTGTTTTTGGCAAAAGGGATAAAGCGGAATAAATCCAATTAGATTGAGTTTTCTTGTCCGCTGGCCCCCAAATTTTTGGTTGGATCCATATTTTTGTATGGGATATTCGTTGGACTTATTTTCTCGGCTCGTAGTAATTTCTCTCATTTATCCCTTCTGACCCGCTTTATTATATTTTACCATAACTTTGGGATTAGTTAGTCCAATGACCGGATTGGACTTGTAATTATTAAACTACCATCGAATAGAACCAACGGTAGGATTTTTACCCTTCACCCATTTTTGTCTTCTTCGCTTTACTTCTTCTCATTGGTCCTTCTTCCCGCGAGCGACACCCAGTGCAAGGTAAATCTCTCTCTCTCTCTATATATATATCTATCTCAAAGTTCATATGTCGTTTCTCTCTCTATACATCTGTGTATATATATATATATATGTATATCTCTCTTTCTCTTTCTCTCTCTCTCTCTCTCTCTCTCTCTGTCTCTTGCTATCTCTGTGTGTGTATATATATGTGTGTGTATATATGTCTATGTATCTTGGTCTATATGTATATGTATACAAGATCTACAACCTGCAAACAAACCTCACCAAAGAGAAGGTTTTGGACAGTCTAATTTGTAGAGCAAAGGTCATTCCACATAAACTTTCTCTGCCTCTTCGTACATACCCAAACTAAAACACTAGCCTAAGATTATTTTTTAAAAAAAATAATAATAATTCTGATTTTTTTTTCTCTCAACAAAAACAAGGATTAATTATGATCATATTAAAAAATTATTTAAAAAAAAAAATTTTGATCATAGCCCGCATGCAAACAAGATGGTGTTAATCATAGTTTAAGAATATCCAAGCCATTGACATGCAAATTCTTTTACTCATACAATCAAGAAATGACATCTCTCTCTCTCTCTCTCTCTGTGGGGGGTGATGTATTGGGTTTTCTTAGTTGCAACAAATTTTGCTTTGTGACTTTTCCTAAAAATTTTTGCTTTGGGTGATGGTTTGTTCTATTTTAGTTTTGATTATTGTGCATTTTGCGATTACCATGTAATGCTTTTGGTTTTACTTCCAGCCAACCTTCAATCTGTAATTTTATTTGAGATAATTTTTTTTTTTCATTTAGAAAAATATCAGGAAAGCAAACATATTTTGTAGTAATATGAAAGAAAAAAAAAACTAATTTTATGGCATCAAGCTCATAAAACAGAATGACGTTTCTAGAATCTTATGAGCAAATTAATTAGATCAAAATTTGTTGGTATTGCAAACATTAAAACCAAATTATTTTTGGTTTGTGCACTTGGTAACATAGATGAAAATTAGAGAGAAGTTTAAAGGTGGACAAAATAAATAATGTTGCCTAACCTAACATAGACTTTGGATTTGATAATAGTCAAGGGTAAAATTGTAATTTAATGTAAATAGTAAGAAATTTTATGCAAAAAATAATGATTTTTCTATGGGCCCCATAAAATACAAAAGTACTTCATAAAGCAAGAATTGAATTACACAACTTTATTAATATCTTGTCTATATCCTCCGGACTTGGATTTTCATTAGATTAGTTTAAATTAAAAAACTAAACTAATCCTATCCCCCACATACTTGCCAAACACACCCCGGGGGTAGTGTTGGTTTAACAGGATTGAAGGGGATTAGAAATGAGATTGAATTAAAATAGTGAAATAACCCACTTTGATTGAAAAAATTGAAAAAGCCTTCTCGTGGGATTGAAAAACTCGGCGTCCACTACGCCTTCACTGGAATCCAACCCACATGGAATTATCTGAACCCATGTGAATGGAGGGATTCAAAACCTAGTAAAGGGGTAGATGATAAAATTACATATACAACCTCAATGAAAATGGAGAAGTTTCTACAACTTCTTGTTGAATTGACGGCGTTCTTTTCCAGAAGCTTTCGTCAAGCAAAGCAAAATTTGAAGAAAAGCAAACCCAAAATAAATCAAGGCAAAAATAAACAACATAAAAAAAACCCAAATCTAGCAGATCTATGGTTTACCTTCTTATTGCAAAAGGGTATCTCTGATAACAATGGCTTTTTATTGGACTAATCACAACTTGCACGAGGAAAACTCACTATAATCTCAATTTATACCCTCAAAATTTAAAAATATTAATTTATACATTCAAAAATATAAATACATATCAATATACTCCTAAGTCTAACTGTCATCTATTTTGTCTTTAAAAAAATTTAAATTAATTATAAATTACACTCCTCAAAGTTAAATATTTCACATTTATATTTTAAAAATAATTTCATCAATTAATATTTGTTACATAGCTTTCAATTGTATCGGGTCATGTCATGAAAAATAAATTGCATTTGGATCATTGAAAAATTTTAATATAGTTTGGATTAATATTGCTATTTATTGAAAAAAAATAATTAAGTTTTATTTTTAAACACACATCTTTGGATTTTCTAGAAATAAACAAATAACGACTTAGACTTGAGTTGTATCGATATGTTTATTATTTTTGTGTTGAAAATTATTTTTTTTCCATGATGCATATGTTTTTTGTGATTAAAAATGTATTCTACAAATTAATTTAAATAAATGAACAAAATATTTATTGCAATATTTTGTAAAAATGCATAATTTATTCATTTGTATTTTTTGTCATAAAAATATCAATACTAATGGATTATATTTTTTTCTTTTCATTTCATTCCATTCCAAATATAGTGTAAGATTGTATCACATTGTTTTACATAAGAGTGAAATGGTCATTTTATTTTATTTTATCTTCACATGTTAATGGAACCCACCAAACAAATGAAACCTATCCAACACTGGGATAAAATTTGAATCTTATTTTTATAATCCTCAAATTCGGATCACTTTGAATTGAATTGGGATTCAAATCCAATACAATCCAATCCTTTAATTCAAACACCACCTGGGATTGGATTTAGAAAGATATCGTTAATGCAATTCAATTTCCATAAAAAAAAAAAAAACCATCCGACCAGGCCATATGCGACTTTTGATTCCCTGATCGTACTGTTCTGTCTTCTCAACTTGAAGATGCTTTCTTTATCGAAGGAGGAGGTGATTAAGATACCGATAAAAAAAAAATTTATATCATAATTTTATGGAAAAGTTTTAATTATACTTTTTATAGTTTATCATATTTTTAAAACCATTTCATTTGTTACCAAAAAATATCACTACGTCTCTTTTAATTTATATTTAAATATTACTGGCAC